CCCTTGCAGATGCTAATCTTCGTTTGGAGCGGTGTGGAGGCACAATGCTCCCCAAGAAGCCACTAGGGCCACCGTAATCTCCTCACGCCCTCGCACAATGCAAGATGTCGTGATTCCACTAAGGGACCCTTGAGGGCGGTCACCGAATCCGTACAAATGGCAACCCTTGGGGGCGGTCACCGAACCCGTACACTTTGGCAACCCTTGGGGGCGGTCACCGGTACCCGTCAAATTGCTCGGGGCGATCTCCACAACCTAATTGGAGACCCTGACGCTTGCCCGGAGCTTTACACCACAATGATTGAGCTCCGAACAACACCAACCGTCTAGGGCGCCAAGGCACCCAAGAGGAACAAGCTCTAGGGTGCCCAAGCACCCAAGAGTAATAAGCTTCTCAAACTTCACTTCCACGTATCACCGTGGAGAACTCAAACCGATGCACCAAATGCAATGGCAAGGGCACACGGAGTGCCCAAGTCCTTCTCTCTCAAATCCCACCGGAGCAACTAATGCTAGGGGGGAAATGAGAGGAAGAACAAGAAGGAGAACACCAAGAACTCCAAGATCTAGATCCAAGGGGTTCCCCTCACATAGAGGAGAAAGTGATTGGTGGAAATGTGGATCTAGATCTCCTCTCTCTTTTCCCTCAAAAACTAGCAAGAATCCATGGAGGGATTGAGAGTTAGCAAGCTCAAAGAAGGCCAGCAATGGGGGCAAAAACGAGCTCAAGAGATTAGGTTCATTGGGGAAGAAGACCCCCTTTTATAGGTGGGGAAAAATCCAACCGTTATGCTCACAGCCCGCACAGAGCGGTACTACCGCTCCAAGGAGCGATACTACCGCTAGGGCGGAAGTACCCCTTTGAAAAACAACAGCGAGGAGGCAAAAGGCCAGAAGAACCGCCGGAGCGGTACTACCGCTCGTCCTCACGGTACTACCGCAAATGGTAGCAGTACTATTGCTTGTGAGCGGTACTAAAAAAATACATCCGGGCCTACCACCGCAAGACTTGGGACGAGTTTTTTTGGTCCGGAGCGGTACTACCGCTGTAGGAGCCGCGGTAATACTACTCTGGAGCGGTAGTAAAAAATTACATCCGCTCCAATTCGCGGTAGTACCGCTGCAGCCTTTTCAGAACACCAAAACTGCCAGAACTTTTGCAAACGGACTCCGAATTCGATGAAACCAAGTTTGTTGGAAAGCTAGCGACAAGGGATAACACAATCTTGAAAGAAATATCAATAAGAAGAAAATTAGAAAAGGCCCATAATAAAATGGTGAGGACCCTTCCTCGGATAAGACCGGTAAAACCTACAACACCGAAAACATCATAGAAGACGCATGCGAACTCCGTTTTCGATGAAACCAAGCTTGTCATCAAGATGACCATAAGCTCTAAGACTCACAAAGAGAACCAAACAAGAACCAAGAAACATGATGCAAGGATGCAATGGTTTGAGCTCTCGACGAATGATACGATCAAGCTACTCACTTGAGAGCCCCCCTTGATAGTACGGCTATCGATCCTATAACCCAGTCTCCCAACTACCACCATGAGACCGGTAAAATAGAAAACCTATCAAGGGCAAACCTTTGCCTTGCACATGATCCACTTGAGTTAGATGAAGACGATCTTGTCCTCCTCAAGATGGACCACCTTTCTTGATTGTGTTGGGTCGATGAAGACTAGATGATTGCTCCCCCATACTCCACTATGGGTGAGCCACTCTTCAGCACATCTTCACAAGTCCATTGACACCACAATGGATGGCAGCTTCAAGCACTTGATCTCTTCGTGATTCTCCACTTGAAATTGCACACGGCAATCTTGATGACGATCACCACTTGATGTCATCCTTCCCATGGGTTGTATGATATCATCCTCTTGACGCAAGCCCATGGACACGTACCTAACCCCACATAGACTCTCACATAGACCATGGGTTAGTACATAAAGTGCAATGAACAATGCTTACCATACCATGGGATCACTTGATCCCTCTCGGTACATCTTCTACTCTTTGTGAGTTGATCAACTTGATTCACTCTTGACTTAGTCTTGATCAACCTTGAATCTTTCCAACTCTCTTCGTTTGGATGATGTCTTGAAGGTAAACATGAATGATCACACAATCTTTTTCTTCAAGACATGCTTGCAATAAGTTCAACTCTCAAATGACCAATCTTTGGATAATTCCTTGAATAGCACCTTGGTCGACACAAACTCTCCTTGAAACCAACACATGTACTCCAAGAAAAGCCTACGGACAAAACCTTCAAATATAACTCAAGGAAACCATTAGTCCATAAAGATTGTCATCAATTACCAAAACCAAACATGGGGGCACCGCATGTTCTTTCAGCAAGAAAGGAAGCATTATTTTGCAATGAATCACATTGGCAGCCATGATGTTTGGTGCAAGTATGATTTTTCTTTTTCTCTTGTACCTTTCATTTTTTTTGTTTGTTGCTGATTGTGTACTTCATCTTTTTTCATTTTTCATTGATTATTTCATTTATTTTCTTTTATCAGATACGAAGCTATTAGATATGATAGAGCATTCTGTTCGTATCACTCTCTTGCATCCCTATGCCCAAATGGTCACGTAGATAAATTCTTGATTCTATGTTTCTGTTGATTTCTTTTCAACAAGTGTCATCCTTCTAAATCGAAGAAACATTTCTTCTTCATGATTTGTTATTGATTTTTTTTACTCTCTATCTTTATAATTTCAGTTGTACTTCCCTATTGGTCTCGATGGTCGCTGGTTTTCGTTTGTCATGTGTATCAAAGATAGAGCTTTTGTGTTTCTTGACTCGGCGTTTGGAGAGAACTCAACGTAGCACAGAGATATCCGTGATGAGCTGGTAATTTTTCTGTAAGCTTTCATGCATATTGCTGTGAGATTTTGTAGTTGTGTAACTTTCATGTACTACACAGATAGTTTTTAATTCTGCGCTCTCTGTTCTTGTGCATTTTTTCCATGTATTTTTAGTTTATTTCAGTTGTTTTCTCCTTTTATCTTAGTGGATTTACAGTGTAACTCTCATTGGACTTACACTGTAATTTAGTGCATTTTTACAGTGTAACTCTCTTTGGATTTGCACTGTAATTATCTTTAGTGCATTTTACAGTGTAACTGTCATTGGATTTACACTGTAATTATCTTTAGTGCATTTTACAGTGTAACTCTCATTGGATTTACACTATAATTATCTCTAGTGCAATTTAGAGTGTAATTTTCATTGGATTTACACTGTAACTCTCACTGGATTAGTGCATTTTACAGTGTAACTTTTATTGGATTTACATTGTAATTATCTTTAGTGCATTTTACAGTGTAACTCCCATTGGATTTACACTGTAACTATCTTAGTGGATTTTACAGTGTAACTCTCAATGGATTTACACTATAATTTATCTTATTTGATTTTACAGTGTAATTATTATTGGATTTACACCGTAATTCTTAGTTGTTGTACTACGTGAATCTTAGTGCCATTGTATTGTATTCACCACTTTGCGCCTAGTGCATTTAGTGTTAGTTATTTCAGTGTAACTAGCACTTTAATTGTACTGATAGCTCCTCCTTATCGTCTACAACACACCTAATTTTGTTTTCTACAGTAAATTAGTTTGGTATACTTTCCTGATTTTTTAGTTCCAAAACAGATTCATATTTCATTGGGCTTTGGGATGAGTATATCACTCCTATGATGCACAAATGAATTAATTTCTAAGAGTTTGATGTCTTGTACCCAGCTGTTCCTAAGCAAGAGAACCGGTATTATGTTTTTTTGCGTGACATGATTTTGATTAATTTTATATAGATTGTTTGTGGGCTTCTTTTCTAATTTTTTGTGTTCTTTGTAACTTTTCAGGCATAATTGTGGTGTCTTGGCTCTGAAGTATACGGAGATCTTCACACCAAGAACTCAGATGACAAATCTTTTCTCCAATATAGACATTCCAAATCTTAGGATCAAATATGTGAATGATATGTTTTTCAGCATCTGCGACAAATCTTTTGTCACTGATTTCTTTGGCGATGTATGTTCTTATTTTCCTTGTCCTCTAGTTCATTTTCATTTTCTTTTCTTATTTTTACCTTTTATTTTCTTTACCTATTATGGCCTCTTTAATTTTTTTGTGTAGGGAGGCAATGCCAAATGAGGTTCAGTATGTGTGCAGTCCTAGCTCAATTGGTGGATGAGTTTTCATTTTTAGTAGAATGTAACATAGAACCACTAGTACAAATCATTTGGATTATTGGTGGATTTACAATGTCCTTTTTAGTGGATTTTATAGTTGCATCTTTAATGCCTCTTGCACTGTAATTCTTAGTGTTTAATCTTAGCAGTTTTTTTTAGTGCAAACCATTTGGATCATTGGTGGATTTACAGTGTCATTTTAATGGATTTTACAGTGTCATTTTAATGCATCTTACATTGTAATTCTTAGTGGGCATGATAGAAATTATTGTGGTTTTTAGTGGATTTACACTGAATTTCTCAGTGGTAATATTATGGTAATATACTTCTTCGTCGATGTAATTTTTAGGTGACATCATCTTGAAAAAGCTTTGGCTATGTCGCTGTGCTTCTTTGATCTTCTCTTTTAGCTGCTCCCATGCATGTCCGGGTTGAAGTTGAAGTGTGGACCCGTTAGTCTGTTTATAAAAGCGGGACAGAAAAGCAAACATGGGACATGGGACAAAGGACACTTGTCATTCTTTTTTTTTTTGAGATGGACACTTGTCATTCTTTGGTTGATTGAAGAATATTTAAATTTCATCCGGACGTAGAATAGACAGTCCCTTCTTAAAAAGGCCGACTCGGGTAGCAGGCCGACTCGGATTAGTTGGCACCTCCGCCAGGCCGCCCTATTTTAACCAGGCCCAGGCGCCCAGCACCAGCGCACGCCGCTGATTCACCTCGGCAGTTCGTCTCCACATTATTCTCTCCGGCGGCGGCGACTCGACTCTTGGCGAGGGGCGGAGATGTCCTACTTGCTCCCCCACCTGCACTCCGGCTGGGCGGTGGACCAGGCCATCCTCGCCGAGGAGGAGCGGCTGGTCATGATCCGCTTCGGCCACGACTGGGACGAGACGTGCATGCAGGTACGGTGCTCACCCCCCCAACTAAACCCTAGCTCCTTCTTGATTCTCGCTCGATCCAACTGTTTGGTTTGATTGTTTCCGGTCGTTCGGTGCGGGGCGCCCGCACACCGGATTCGGGCGGGGATTTGTTAAAACCGGTCAAGGATTCGCCGTACGCGCTAGATCATGCTAGATTTAGTTTTAGGGATATGGGGCAGAAATTCTCCTTCATGCTGGTCTCTGTGAGCAGTTCATCCTCATGTTAACAAGTAGCGGCAAGCTCTGGTAAGGACTAGTGGCAATATGTTTACGATACAAATTATCTGACCTTGGTATTTAGGAATCTCGGTGCAGCACTGCTAATTGGATGATTGATAGTATGTTAAACAAATTTTCTCACTGCCTCGCAATTGTGCTGCTCCCAAGGTAGTATCCACGCATCCTGCAGGCACCTTTCCATTGCCTGACAGGATAGTCGGTTAATTTGGATATGCAGTAGAAGTGGAGGAAGTCCACGTGTCACTGTTTTTCTTGAAATATGGCTTCTAATTTTTGGTGAGCTAGATAGTTACTCACATATATTTTTCTGCCTGTAACATATTTGGAGTAATTCAAGCTGGTTCCTTGGTTAAGTTGGAAGTAGAACTAGCCATTGTGTACTGACATCATGTACCTCAACACAAAGTTCTGAGGAAATTGAGTGATTTGCCCTTTTCTTTCATTCAGCAACTTCTTTGATGGTTGTTCAAACTAATCCATCTCTGGAGTCTTTTTCATTTATGTTGTTGGTTGCAGTTTGACCTTCAAATTTTGTTAGGTTTTGGTTCTAAATCAATCTAGTAAATCTGGATATCTGTAGTTATGTTATATGTGGTTGCTATTGCTGCTCTTGGATGATTTCTTGCACTTTGGAGTGCTTCCTTGATCTATTGTCTGTATGTTAGCTTTGTTAATGATCTGGTTATGATTGATGGTGTCAATACAAATAGCTTAACTGCTGTTTTGGTGTACTGGTGCAGGGCTGCTACATAGCTGATTAATATGGGAGCAAATGCTTTTAATTCTCCGTATGTACTATCCACACATCCTACAAGTGAATTTGCATTCAGCCTTTCCATTATCATAAGCTCATACCGTCAGAAGCTAGTTGGTCGATTTGGAGTAGGGTAGAAGTTGGAGGATTTTTGGTTGTTGAAGTAAAGCTTCTACGTGTACTGAGAGCTAGGTTGGAACTCACCTCTATATTTTGTTGCGTTTCACATATATATTTGGAGTAGTTCACTACTGGTTGCTTGATTGAGTTGAACTGTTGAAGTAGAGCTAGCCATTATACTCAGCGGAAGTTAAGCGATGTGTGCTTTTCTTCTTTTATTGACGGCCAATTGTTCTAAATTATTGATTGCAAACTTGCAGTTTAACTTTTTTTTATTAGTCTTTGGTTCTACATCAATCTAGCATGGTTGTATGTTGTTGACTTCATCATGAGTTTCTGACTATCTGCTTGTTCATGTTTAGATGGACGAAGTGCTGTCAGGGGTGGCTGAGACCATAAAGAACTTTGCGGTGATCTACCTCGTCGACATCACGGAGGTTCCTGACTTCAACACCATGTACGAGCTGTACGACCCATCAACGGTGATGTTTTTCTTCCGCAACAAGCACATCATGATTGATCTCGGGACAGGAAACAACAACAAGATCAACTGGGCAATGAAGGACAAGCAAGAGTTTGTTGACATTGTGGAGACTGTATACAGAGGAGCTCGTAAGGGCCGTGGGCTGGTGATTGCTCCCAAGGATTACTCCACCAAATACCGTTACTGAGGTATCTGTGCTTGGCTATTCAGGTGCAGTGTGTGGCCTGCTCTGTTCTGTGAAGTGCGCTGTGTGACCCTTGATGTAATGTCTGTCAACTTTGAAAGTGTCGCGTAACTATGTATTTGTATCTTGAATATCAACATGTCATAAACCTGTAACCCTTTGAAACAGGACCTGCTGTCTATTGGTATTACTGATTAAAGTGATATTTGGTTTGAACTATGTGTGTGAATTGCTGAACAGAGGTCTTTAGGAATCTCGGTGCAGCACTTGTATTCGGATGATTGATTATATGTAAACAGATGCTCTTAGTGCTTTGCAATTGTGCTGCTCCCCAGGTACCATCTACACATCCTGCAGGCGCCTGAGAGAATAGGTGGTTAGTTAGGATATGTAGCAGAAGTGGAGGAAGGCCCTGTGTCTCTGATTTTCTTGAAATAAAGCTTCTAATTTTTTATGACCTAGATTGTTGCTCTCATTTTTCTGCCTGTAACATATTTGAAGTAGTCCAAGCTGGTTCCTTAGTTAAGTTGAAGTAGAACTAGCCATTGTATACTGACATCATGTACCTCACCACATAATCATGAGAAAATTCAGTGACTTGTGCTTCTATTTCTTTTTTCATTCAGTTGTGCAAAATAATCCATCTCTGAAGTCCTTTTGTTTGTTTATGTTATGGACTGCAGGTTGACCTTTCAATTTTATCAGGCTTGGGTTCTACATCAATCTAGTAAGTCTGGATATCTGTAGTTATGTTACATGAGGTTGCTATTGCTGCTCATGGATGGTTTCTTGCACATTGGAGTGCTTCCATGATCTGTTTATCTTTATGTTAAATAGTTAGCTTTGTTAATGATCTGGTTATGATGATAGCGTTAATACAAATAGCTCAGTTGCTGTTTTTGTGTACTGGTGCAGGGCTGCTGCTTAGAGGATTAATACGGGAGCAAATGCTCTTAATGCCCGTATGTAATATCCACACATCTTATAAGAGATTTTGCATCCAGCCTTTTCTATTATCATAGGCTCAGTCTCATTAGTTAGTTGGTCAATTTGGAGTAGGGTAGAAGTGGATGATTTTTGGATGTCTCTTTTTGTTGAACTGAGAGCTAGGTTGCAACGCAGTTTTATACTTTGCTGTGTTTCACATATACTCCCTCCGCCCCAAAATAAGTGTCTCAACTTAGTAGTTCACAACTGGTTGCTTGATTGAGTTGAAGTAGAACTCGCCATTATAGTCAGAGGAGCGATGGGTGTTTTTCTTCTTTCAGCCAATTGTTTTATTACTTTAGCAATGAATAAAATGTCTTAGATTGCAGACTTGCAGTTTATTTTTTTAGCAGGCTTTGGTTCTACATCAATCTAGCATGGTTGTATGTTGTTGACTAAATTACAAGTTTCTGATTATATGCTTGTTCATGTTTAGATGGATGAGGTGCTGTCAGGGGTGGCTTATATAGACTATAAAGAACTTTGCGGTGATCTACCTCATCGACATGACGGAGGTTCCTGACTAAAACACCATGTACGAGCTGTACGACCCGTCGATGGATGTTCTTCCGCAACAAGCACATCATGATTGATCTTGGGACAGGAAACAACAAGAAGATCAAGTGGGCAATGAAAGACAAGCAAGAGTTTGTTGACATCGTGGAGACCGTCTATGGAGGAGCTCGTAAGGGCCGCCCAAGGATTACTCCACCAAATAACTTTACTGAGGTATCTGTGCCTGGCCATTCATGCACATTCTGTAGACCGCTCTGTTGCCAGTACTTATGCTGTGACCCTTGATGTAATGTCTGTCAAACTTTGAAAGTGTCGCGTAACTATGTATCTGTATCTTGAATATCGTCATGTCATAAACTTGTAAACCTTGGGAACAGGGCCTGTTGTCTATTGGTATGGCTGATAAAACAGATCTTTGGTTTAAATAAACTGTGTGTGTGCATGGCTGAACCACGGGCTCGGATTGTCATGCTGGTAGAATGTTACTGCTCGCTGAAGCAGGTTGATATTGAGTTGAACAGAAATCCCAGGCCTCTTACAATTTTTTCCCCTTGTTCTTGGTTTGAATTGTGAGTGATGTATGTACTCTTGGTCTCCTGCGTAGTGATGTGATGCTATGTGACTGTGGAGCAAGTTTGAAAGGTTGTACTTATGTCAGTATATATAGATAGATAATAATGAAGAAAGAACAATCAATGATCAGTAAATGGCGTTGTGTGTGTGGATCGTTGTCTGAAACCTCATTTGGCCGTTCATCAGGGAGCTTAACTGAATGTGAATTGGCGAGATACAGCCATCCCTTGAATTTTCGCCATGTAGGCAGTGTTAAACGCAATGCACTTGCTAAAAGAATCAAGAAAGAGGAGCCGTCCATATTTGTTTCGCTTGTAGGATACCAAAGGAGCTGGCTCGTTGGTCTCAGAGACCGTGAGGTCGAGAGTTCGAGCCTCCGTGCACCACCATAGAATAGAAGGCCAAGTAGTGATGAAACGCTCGGTGACAACTTGGGTCGTCACATCAACACCTCATTAATCAGGTGAAATGAGCAAGTCTGAACTTGGTCTTTCTTATTTTTTGGTTCAGACTAACTACTGCGCTCTCTCCCTCGCTGCTCCTCTGCTTGTTCAGGCTCGCAAAAGATTGGATTTCGCATGATAAGTTGCCTCACATAACTTCATGATGCTCTGAGCCGCTGTAGCAGGTTCATATTCAGAGAACGAAAAATCCCAGGCATCGAACATATTAGAGTTGCAGGTCCCAACCTTTTCTTGTTCTTGTTTTGGATGGTGGTTGGTGGGCGACCAACTCTCAGTCTCACTCGTGGTTTTACTTGTCGATGCATAAAGTTCATCCTGATTCAGTTAGTTGGTCCTGCGTAGTGATGTGATGTTATATATGACTGCAGACCAAGTCCTCACCGATTTACGTAATCATTTGAACGAGTTCCTCCCGATTCAGTTTAGTCAGGTGCTGAAAAGTTGTATGTCAGCATATAGTTGAAGAAAGAACATCAGTGATATGTATGGTCCGGAGATAATCGTTGTGTCGATCTCATCCGGCTGTTCATTGAGGGAACTTAACTGGATATGAATCGGCAAGATACAAACATCCTTGAATTTTCGCCACGTACGTAGCGTTAAACAAGAACATCCATGGTTTTAATGGTCTTCCTTGCTTAACAAGGACGTTTGTTTCGCTTCCGGAACAACAGGTGGGGTGGTGGCGCAGTTGGCTAGCGCGTAGGTCTCATAGCTGAAACAATTGCGAGTAATCCTGAGGTCGAGATTTCGAGCCTCTCTCACCCCACACCGAAAAAGATACCACCGTAGTGATGAAACGCTCAATGGCAACTTGGGTCGCCACAAGGTACATCTGATTCGTCAGGTGAAACCGAGCATGTCTGAACCTTGGTCTTCTTTTTTCATATATTTTTTGGTCCTGCCTGGTACAATAATCTCCTCCACGGCTACAGTTTCTTGCTCCTTTGCTTTGTCATGCCCAAGCACTGATGTTCAGGCTCACAAAAAGGTTGGATTTTCACATGATGTGTTGCCTAACACATCCTGATTATGCACCGGGTTACCAACTTCGGGTTATGGATTAATGGTCTGGGAACTTGGAGCAGAAATGGGAGTGCCTTCAGACGAGGGAGCATCTCATTATCACTACAACAGTATATGCAGCACTTGGGCACTCTTTGGGTTCATCTTCCAGAATCCACTCTGATAAATTCGAATTGTCGCTGTGACATGTGAGGCATACGTATCTATCTATGGGTGTGTACTGCTGAACCAAGGGCTCGGATTGCCATGTCGGTAGAATGTCACTGCTCTTCTTGTTTCTACCTAGGTTGCCCTGGAGCCAGGTTCATATTCACCGAAAGAAAATCCCAGACCTCAAACATTTTCCCTGTTTTGAATTGTTAGTGATGCATGTACTCTCAGCCTCGCTTATTGCTTCTAAACTCCAACTAATCTTGTGCATGTGTGCCGTACTTGTCGATACATGATTCGACAAGGTCAAAATCCCTCGTGATTCGGTTGGACCTGCGTAGCGATGTGATACATGAACTAACAAGGTGTTGAAAAGTTGTAGTATGTCAGCATATATACATAATAATCAAGAAAGATTAATAAGTGATCTGTATGGTCCCGAGATAATATTTGTGTTGTGTGGTTGTATGGATCGTTATCTGAAATCTCATCTGGCTGTTCATCAGGAAACTTAACTGAATGTGGATTGGCCCCTTGGATTTTCGCAAAAAATGGTTCGTAGTGTCCACGGAGCGTTTACATAATCACAAAGAAACAGGAGTTGTCCATGATTTGCAATGATCTTGTTGCTGAACAAGGACATTTATTTCGCTTGTTGTACACAATTGGGGCGGTGGCGCAGTTGGCTAGCGTGTGAGGCGTAGGCCTCAAGGTTAGCAGCCTCGAGGAGGGTTCGAGCCTGAACCACACCCCCAAAATAAAAACACGCTAGCCTAGGATACCTTCAGATAATGAGCAAGCCTGAACTTGGTCTTCTTTTTCTTATTTTTCGCAGCGGTTTCCTCTCTCTTTTAAAAAGTTGGAATTTCACATGATAGGCTTGCCTAGGATACCTTCAGATAATGAAGCGCTTGGATGGATGGCTGCATTTTTCTTTGACAAAAGGGATGCTTGGAACAGTCAAGAAATCCAGTGCTCGATTGATTTTGAATCTTTAACAGTAAAACAAGAGCTAAGTCTGGTCTTCTTTTTCTTATTTTTCGCAGCGGTTTCCTCTCTCTTTTAAAAAGTTGGAATTTCACATGATAGGCTTGCCTAGGATACCTTCAGATAATGAAGCGCTTGGATGGATGGCTGCATTTTTCTTTGACAAAAGGGATGCTTGGAACAGTCAAGAAATCCAGTGCTCGATTGATTTTGAATCTTTAACAGTAAAACAAGAGCTAAGTCTGTTGTGCTAATTGTTTGTTATTAATACCTGAAGCTCATTCTTTGTTTTCTGAACATGTGCAGAAAAAAAGGCACCTGAAGCCAGCTTTTAACACTGAAAAAAGAAAAAAATCTTATCTGCGCAGCATGATCATGGTGCAGGCAGCCAAATTTGAGATCATGTCT